GGTTGCAGCCATCATTGTTGTTTGGCGGGCCCGGGCTGGGGATTTGAACCCGCCACCTTAGGTGTATGTGGCTGGCGCCTTAGCTGGTTGAGCTATAGGTGCCGAGCCATATTTTTGTTAGTTTCTACAACTGTTAACTTCAAGCAAAATTAGATTTAATTCTTTCTATTGAAAATAGCATTTTTGAGCCTGCTTCAGTGACTCATGTCTGTAATCCTAGCACACTAGAGGCCATGAAAGGAGGATCACTGGAGGTCGGGACTTTAAGACCAGTTGAAACAATGAGATCCCATCTCTACCAAAAAAAAATAGGAAAAATTAGCTAGGTGTGATGATTCACTCCTATAGTCCCAACCACTTGAGAGGTGAGGGCAAGAGGATTGCTCAACCCCAAGAGTTTGCAGTTGCCGTGAGATATAATCACACCACTGCATTCTAGCTCAGCCAGCAGAGTAAAACTTCATCTCAAAAGAAAATAGCATTTTTGTAAAATTATTGTTTTCTGTGTATTTTGATATGTAATTAATGCATAGAGAAATGTCTGGAATAATGGTCATTAACTTAATGATTCTGGTGGTAGAATTTGGATAGCTTTTAAAATTCTCTATGCTTTTCTGTATTAAGTTTTTTTCTAATGAGCTATATGTTTTTTATGAAAATAATAAAGTAATTCTCAAAAGAGGAAAATAAGTAGTTATAATATTAAGATTTTATTTGACTAATTTATAAGAATTTTAACTTTCAGGGTACAGTTCTACCTCAAGAAATAAGACAAGTAAATCAACATCATAAATCTGGCTTTAATGACAACAACATTAAATACCAGCAAAGAAAACATGACCCTCACAGAAAATGTAAGTTTTAAGTTAGAAAGGTGTGTTTGTGTGCTTTCTTTTTTCTTTACTAAATGGCTTTATTAAGATATAATTCACATACCATAAAATAAATTCATCCTTTTAAAGTAAAAAATATTTTTTGGTATTTTCAGAAAGTTGTACAACCAACACCAGTATCTAAATTTAGAACTTTTTTTTTAATTTCAACAGATTTTACTTTAGAATTCTAGCCATTGAGATAGTCTACAAGTTCAAGTTGCACTTCAAGGTTTCGTTTAACAGCCACAGAACAAGTACTTCACCCTCCAGCACGTATATTGAATTACAGTAAAACCTTTCTCCATAGACAGAGGTTTACTGCTATAAGTTGACCATTCAGACAGAATTCTTCCCAAGGGACTTTTAGATGGAACTTTTCTATGTTGCAGCAGAACCCCAAAATAACAAATAAAAGACGATACCAAGAATTCTCAACACAAAATTCCAGGGCCTATCAAACAAATGGAAATCCAAAGAGGACAGAACACCACCCCTGATGGCATCTCAGACTGTGCGCCCCAAGTGGCCTACAGGGCTGGAAGGTAAATCCTTCCCAAATGGTAGCTTAGATTCCCCCTACTCCCCCTGCTCCCTAGGAACCACAAATGAGCTCCAAATTCAGACCAGATTCCCTAGTTCCACTCAACCTCGTGACTTCCATTCCCAAAAGACACCCCAAAGCAAACAAAACCAACAGGAAGGTCTGAAAGCTCCCCATATGGGTAGACTCATGGTCTCACTGTGCATACCAGGGAACTTACCCAACAAAAGGCCTGGCATCTGGACCCTTTACAAATCCCTTCTCCTCAGCACAGTTCAGGTTGTGGGAAGCTACATCTACTTCAAGGAGTCAGAGCTAAAATATGTCCCAGCAGCTGCTGGGACCATCCCATACTCTATGACCCTGAAAAGAATCCATTCCTTCTGGTACAGACCCATGGCTCTGACCTCAGCTCTTCTCTGCTGAGCCATCCCATCCCATCCAGAAGCCAAGGAGCTCACCCAGGGAGCATCAAAATCTGTTACCAAAAGTTCAGTACTTGTTCTCAAGACCACATCAAAAAAAAAAGCAAGAACAAGTGGTTTTTGAGAAGAAGGAAAGGGAAATTTATTACTTTGCCGGCAAAGGAGGATATCTACTTAACTGCAACACCATTTGTTAAAAAGACTATTCTTTCCTCATTGAATTCTCTTGGCACACCCCATTGAATAGTCTTTGCACACTTGTCAAAAGTTAATTGACTATAGAGATGAATATGGTGGCACACACCTGTAGGCTCGGCTACTTGAGAGGCTGCGGCAGAAGAATCACTGGAGCCTAGGAGTTCAGGTTCAGCCTGGGCAACATGGCAAGACCCATATCTAAAAAGAAAACAATTGACTATGGCTATGGGTTTATTTCTAAATTCTTGATTCTATTCCATTGATGCATATTCTTGTCCTTATGTGAACAGTACACTGTCTCTATAACTAGCTTTGTTGTAAGTTTTGAAATCAGGAAGTTTGAGTCCTCTAACATTTTCTTTTCTTTTGTTTATTTTATTTTATTTATTTTTTTTGAGACAGAGCATCAAGCTGTCACCCTGGGTAGAGTGCTGTGGCATCATAGCTCACAGGAACCTCCAACTCCTGGGCTCAAGCGAGTCTCCTGCCTCAGACTCCCAAGTAGCTGGGACCACAGGCGCCCGCCAC